TTTGCCCTTGGGGGCATTTCATGGAGTACGATGTGTACTGTAGGCACGAGAAGACGCACTGCGATATAAGAGCCATCAGCTGCGTGGAACAGTCAACCCCGAAGAGGAGGCGACTCTTCTTAATTCCAGAAACGTCACAAACAGGGCGTGGAGATATGAACGAAGAGTCACCCTCACCACAACCGCATTCCCCCCAAGTAGTCCCAGGATACAGTGATGCGGGGTCCCCAATACCTGGACCTAGTAATGTGCAGTCACCTCCCCCCAGACGTGCACAAACATCACAGACGGATGAGCCAACTGAACCTTTAAGTTATGATATGACAAAGATAAAGGAAAGAACATTTAAAAATTCAGTTAAAGACACACACTATGAAGTAACCTTCAATAAAACCAAAAAAGGTGGTAAGTTATCCGATATCTACAAGAAATTGGAGGAAATGTTTGATGACGTCATTGCAAGGGCTGTTGTTGGTCTTCAGGGGTCAGATCTGGGAAGAGTTTTAATTCACCCTAATGGATTGAGCAATCCCATTGTGGTGGCCCTTCGTCCCCTCGACAGACTCAATGGTCATGATGTCATTGAGGAAGTAGAAAAAGTATTAAATAGCCATGAGGAATTGCCCCTAAGCGATAGTTTTCGGATAGACATAGGGACAATGGAACTACCCAAAGGGGGAAGGGGTAACCATATAATATCTCTTTCGGGGGCTAATAGTGCTATTAAAAACAAGTGCTCCATTATAGAAATACACAACAAATGATAATACCTGTCTGTCGAGAGCAATCATTATGGCCTTCCTGAATGCAAATCGTGTGGAAACTAAAGATTGGAACTAGAAATTGTTGGCTAACAATTTGACGGGCTTTTCACTGTAAGGGTTACTTCCCTTACACCAGTAGTAAAAGTCCTGGTATCTGGTAAAATTACATGTTCGAATTTGACCTCTATCAAATACCGGAAGTTGATCTTTAATGGTTAACTATTTCCATTCACCATGTAGCCCATCATCCTAGCATGCTACAGACCAAATATCAATACCCTGGCAATTTCCGTTATTGAGAAGGAGTCTTTTGAAGATTTTAACATAATTGACCCCAGTGACCTTGAACATTGGTCAAGGTCATTCATATTTTCAAACTTGATAGCCAATTACCTGAACATGTTATGTATGAAATAGTAGGGCTCTAGACCTTGTGGAACTGAAGAAGAAGATTTTTTTAAGGTTGGTACCCAATATAGTGCATTTTAACTTTGACCCCTGCCGAGAATCGGAAGTTGACATTTTTTGTTAAAACAGTATGAAAGAAAAAGTTTGCTCTTGGCTATCTCTATATGATATTCAAAGATCAACCTCGTGTTTGATATCGATAACGAAATATATTGGTATAGGCTGTTAACCAATCAGAGTTCGTGGCGGCCATCTTGGAATATTAATGGCTCCAAAATGTAACATAAGTTCGTAAGGGCCCCTATAGGAATACATGTACCAATTGTGGTTAATATTGCAATGGCAGAATTGGAGAAGAAAATCGTTGAAGTTTTAACATATTGTCAGCATTTTAAAAGATCAAAGGAAATATTCAAAATGGCGTACAACGTTAATGGTAAATGTTACAGAAAAACTAAAGACATCTAATTCATCGGAATGACATTCTCCATCGATCTATTGAAGAATTCTGTAAAAAAAAGGAAAAATGAATATTTTTTAAAAATTGTGACCTTTGACCCAACAGCGAACTTTTTCATTTGACCTTTTAAGTAATAATATACGGTAGAAAAAAGTTAGCCCTGAACTTTATCTACAAATGATGTCTTAAAGGCTGTAAATTCAACTGTGTTTGAGTTATAGCCATTTTAAGATTTTTAAGGTATGACGTCATGGCGGCCATTTTAATTTTTCAATGAAGTTGATTTTTTTTTAAATGTTAGAAAACATCTGGGGAAACCTTTTTCATAACAAATAAATCAAATATTTGTCATTGATATTGGAGTAAAACAAGTTTTAAAATATTGCGAATTTTTTAAAAGATCAAAGGAAATATTCAAAATGGCTTAAAACGTTAACGGTTAACGTTACAGAAACACTAAAGACATCAAATTCATCGGAAGGACATCCTCCATCGATCTGTAGAAGTATTTTTCCAAAACAATGAAAAATGAATGTTTTTTAAAAATTATGACCTTTGACCCAACAGCGAGCTTTTTTATTTGACCTTTAAATGAAAAACCATGTGGTAATTAAAGTTAGCCCCTAAGATAATCTACATATTATATAATTGCGTCAATTCTGTAAATTAAACCGTTTTTGAGTTATGGCCATTATTAGATTTTGACCTATGACGTCATGGCGGCCATACTTAATTTTTGACCACCTTGAAAATGTTGCTTGATCAGCTTTAGACCTTTTCCTACAACATACTTAAAAGACTATAAATCTCTCGTTTACCAATCAAAAGATACAGATTCCACAAAGTACGGAATAATAATAATAAGAAGAATAATAATAAGAAGAATAATAAGAAACTTAACAAAAGCAATAGGTCTTTTCACCAGTTGGTGAAAAGCCCTAATGAACTTATTCAGAATGAAAATATCCTTAGATCATCACTGGTTAATTGGGAAATATAAAGTATGTCCCTATTGGTATTTCAAAAAGCTTAGAAATTCCAAAAAATGTGAGCATCGATTAGAGACACTGAATGACTTGCTTTTGACTAATGTTAGTCTAAATGGGAATGAACGGAGGTTCAATTTGAATGATATAAAGATATTTGAAGAAATTTTAAATGTAGACGTTTTGGTTGTGTCTGCATCCATGAGTAACAATTTTTTCAGAGTACCCTCAGAGAGTAGTCAGAAACAAAGAATATATATTTATCTGGTGAATGATTCTCATTTCCACGCCATTTCGAACATTCAAGGTTTCTTTGGGGGGTCAAAATTTTGTGAAAAATGCCTCAAGGCATATCAAACAAGAGGCCCAAGGGCCTTAGCGGTCACTTGAGTTATATCATAGATACTGGTAGCTTTATTTTATTGTTTAGATGTGATGTGGAAATCAGCATGTAAACTAAGTGAAATACAATACTTGTCATGTCATCAATGGATAAGAATTTGAAAATATTGGTAAATGTTA